CCGTCAGAAAACTTCCCTTTTAACCTAACGTTATACGTTGTTGGTTCTGAAGGTCGTGTCCTTTTCTTCGTACACGTATATGCGAACACACGATATTAAAAATAGTTAGGATTGAATTAAAATCAAGCGTACAACTTAGTGGTTTAAGGTCAATTGCGTTGTTTATATATTTTCATTTAATTATATACATACGTATGTATATTACTGATACAAATCGAACGTAATATACAATATTAAGAATATTTGATTTCTACAAGTTCATTGAAATGTGCAAAAGGTACACCAAATATGGAGTTTAGTAAAACGAATCGAAATATCAAAGTTCTGTAACAACGCATCGAACGAATTGAAATCGTGAATGTTGAATGTTTAAAAAGTCAGCGAATGGAAATGCAAGTTTTAAACGGTACATGGATCTATTGTTTACTCTTTCTGGTGTTGTCCGTCTCTTTTTTTTTTTATCCATTTTCTCGTTGTTGTACGCTCGAAGAAGATTCGTTTCGTGGTTACTTCGGCTCACCTGTAACGCTCGCGAGTACGGGGAAGCACGCATGGTTGAGCTCCTTAAGTGGTCTCCTCGTGCTCGGCTCTAGTCTTTGGTTGTTTTCGACCCACCTACCGTCTTCCTAGACTTCTCTTCCTCAACGTATTTTCTCACGGGCACCTCGCGTAGTACGTAAATGTATGTATGTACTACTTACGTACGTCATCCACTGTCAACGACACTCTCTTTTCTCGACCACTTAATTTTCTTCGACCTAACAGGAAGAACATACCGTCAAATTTGCTGGGCCTTCGAACCTTTTCATCTGGTTCTTTCGCGATATGCATCGCTGCTTGACACGTTCCGGTGGTTCGTTTTATTTACGGAGGCCGATTTAATATTGGCTGTATAACCAATATATTTTATATATATTGTATATTATATATATATATATATATATATTATATAAACCAGTATATTTTGAAGATTCAGGCATTATTTATAGACAACGAATCGATATAGAATTCGGCATAGCGAAGAGTCTAAAAGACAGTAAATCGATATGGTTGTTCGATTATTTATAATTTAAAAAATGCCCGATTATATAGGAAACAAGTATCAGGTCTATTTTATAATATGCGAACAGTAGTTGCGCATTACCCACTTGTAATTACCCGCATTACCCATTACATATGTAGCTAAATATAAATGCAATAGAAGATATAAGTAAGGTGTAGAAAGATAGGCTCGCGACGAGTACGGTACATACGTACTTGCATTTCATTCGACCATACATAGCATTTGCATTTTATCGAACATAAACTATTTTTGCATCATACGCAAGTATTAAAGAAATAGCTGTAAAACTGTTCCATCGTTGCGTAACGGTTATCTTTATGTTTTTCACTCGATCGTAAGTCTGTTCCTACTGACATTCGAACAATGTACTTGAACCAGTTTTCTAAGTAAGTCGATCAAACAGTTACACGTATAAACGAGTATATCGAACATTTTACGAATATCCAATGCGCGATATCACGTCGTTGGATTTTTCATGTTTAATCTTGTATTATGTGTGTACGAAATTTGAAGATTTCCCGGGAATGTAGTTTTCGAATAACGAGTATCTGTAATTATATAACGAATATATAAAGATATGATCTAATTACGAATGATTTAACTCGACGGAAATGAACTTTAAACGAAATAGCACAATCATCTATCTGTATCGGGTTGTGCGTATATATTTTTAAATAATCTTGAATCAAATAATCGTAAGTATACGAATGTATACCATATGTGTATATGTAATATTATTCGAATATAACATGTATAATATATAACGTCGTTCGAGAGAAAGGCTATCGAATCGAATGTATCTATCAAGAGTGAGTTAAAGAACGATTGTTTCTCGAGCACGCCTCATAGAAAGATTCTTCTTAGGCGGTGGACGTCGCAGACGCGGAGGAACGCGGCATTGGAAACCGATGAGGGTCTCGATAACGTCGCGTTACACTCAACGTTAGGGTGGATTCACACTACGCGCATCGTCATGAAAGGTCAAGCGTTTTCGAGAAATATATTTTTTACGTGACAATCGTCACGGCTAATCGACGATTCTCTTTGCGTTCATGTAGGTGCTTGCCACAGTGACAAAGACAACATGACAATGTAGCTACGTGTAATGTGAGGCGACCTTTATTCGCTCCTAGAGAAGCGTCAAATGGCATTTCGATGCGATGCGATGTGTTGATTCTTTCCCACGTGAAATGGATGTGTCGCGACTCTGTGTGAGAATAGGCAGACGCGATAATGGAAAAAATCGGGGATAAAAAGAATTGTCGAAATGAGACGAGATGTTTTTATTATAAAAATTGCATAGTTTGGCAGGATTTCGTTAGGATCGGATATGCTAACGTTCAAGATGAGAAGTCTCGAAAGCGTTCGATACGGCTTCGTGATGCTCTTGTAACGCAGACGAAATACGCAGATCAGGGCGTAAACTAAACGAAGTAATTAATGGAAACGTATATATGCGAATTAGCAGCGAAGTGGAAATAATTTCAAATTTGGAAAATGAAATCGATCGATAGGTGAATATGTTGGATAATACGTAAGAATACACGGTGGACGATACGAGCAACGGATACACGCGTTAATGCCATGCCGTATTCTATAGAGGTAGCGAGTAACGACACGTGTCGAGACCTTTCAAACTCTCGAGAACCATCAGGCTGCCGATAGTCACGAGTTTAGATTTGGCGGCAAATTCGATATCTTCTTAAATCGACGACCGATGATCCCGGCGTCTAGGTGGCGTGTAGGGTAACAAGGACGTTTTAAAAGGAACGGGTCACAAAGTGGCGGAGGTGATGAACCTCCCGGCAAGAAGATCGACGATGAGTCGAACGACTCGGCATGTTTTAGAACATGGCTTAGAATCTCGAAGGAGCAATGTTATCCGGAGAAAGTTTGTAACATGTGTGTCTATGTGTATCATAATTTATCGTTATCGGTAGCAAAGTAGTTTATCGCATCTTTCGTCGTTCGATGACCAAAACAGGAAATATCGACGCGAGTAATCGACGCAAGAGAGGTTTAGAAGAAAACTATTAGTTTTATGGTGCTCTTCTTAGTAATAGTAAATACTTGCAGATCCAGTTTCAACAGAGGTTGAATTACAAAAAGAAAGGAAAATGATACAACCAGTTTTAGTAGGCGATACCCACCTTGCTGAATAATCGATCTTTAACGAATAAGATGTATCTTGATAAGTATCGGCATGAAAAATATGTTCTATATACGCGAATGTTCGATACACAGAAAATAGAAAGAATGTGATATCGTTAAAATAATTTCAACTACGCATTTTAGCTACGTCTTATCGTTGGAGGACCGACTGTTGTATTGTCGGTCGTTATAGGTGGATTTGGTGTAAAAGAAAAAACATTCGTACACCCTCGAAACAAAATAACGTTTTTACGAATTAGATCAAACTCGAGTTGTTTTTATAGCTCGGATAAAAAAGTAGTAAAGATCTTTAGCATTTGGTTTGCGATTCGGTCGTGTGAAATCTTGTCGAAAAACCGTTTACGCGTCATCCGATAGACGGCAGATTAATTTTCCTAACTTGTCAAAAAGTCTCAAACAGTTTGATCCAATTTGAAAGAAGTTACTCCGTTTTAAATGGTGTACGAACACACTGACTATATGTATATTTGTTTATTTGGATGCGCGTACGAACGAATATCTTTAGAAGCACGTTGAAACGAGGCACGTTTATGGAGCACTCGGATTTATGGAAGCGAGCCTTTCGCGCGCCTAAATCGCCGAAAACAGGATCGAAAGTGGCTGGTCGCTGGTCGCTGGCGGAAACTTGGGTCGAATGCCTACCTGTGGAAACCGTGGTTACACGGCGTGCGCGCAATTATATACGATTCCACATATTGCCGATGTTTCTCGCGAGGAGACCACACAGTCGGTTGGTACGCGCATCGCGGAGAACAAGTTTAAACCGAGTGGTGGAAAAAAGAAGGAAAAACGAAGACAAGAGAACAAGCTACTCCATATGTAACCATATGTAGATACATACTACTGTCCGTCGTGGCTAGCTCCACCAATTTCAATGGTTATTCAGTTTCGAAAGAAGCAATACGTAATTGAGACGATTTGAAACCAAGAGGTGCAAGTCTGCGATCAAACGGATTAATTCTTTATACCCTTAATCGTTAGCCCTTCCGTATATCTTGGAATTATTTCGAAAAATATTATGTCGCAGGTAACCTATACACTGTCGTCCTAAAAAGTAGAGAAATTTAATCTCTAACGACCTGATCTAAGGAATCGTTAGAAATACACGAGGTTGCTATTTGATCCAATTCATGGGTCGTTCAGCGCGTAGATAACATGGTAATAAGACATAAACTATGTTAATAGGAAGGCAGAATAGCTCAAAGAAACGTGAAAAACAAGCTAGTAGTCGGAACAGATACAGACTCGATCCGTGATATTGCGATCGTGTTCCTACGATAGATGTTCGTTTCTTGCCAGTTATTCGCATTGCCGTTGACAAGTTAAATTATCTTTCGTTTATCACTTTCTTTCGCGACGTTCCCATTTTTTCTTCTTCGCTAGTTTTCGAGCACTTTCCACGGTGTTGGTATACGCAGCTGTGTCGATGAGTGAAACGTTTTGCAGCTTTTATATATCGGGTGTCAGACGTAATCCGCTCTTAATAAGTTGTATTTTATAAAATTATGAATATAGCGTCGTTTTACGGCGTACAAATAAATTGATCGATTGGAGTGTAGCTTTAGAAATTGCGTAAAAGCGTGAAATGGAAAGAAGATAATTTATCGTAGGGCGCGGGAAATTGTAGGGTGACACTTTTCGTACGTTAAGGTATCGAATGATCGCAGGGCGGAAGAACGAGAAAGAATGGGAAAGAATGAGAAAGAATGAGAAAGAACGAGAAAGAATGAGAAAGAATGAGAAAGAATGAGAAAGAATGAGAAAGAATGAGTGACGGATACGAACTATACAAAGAGAGCGTCGTCAGCAATCCGATATGTAAAGCGAAGGAAAGTGTAGGAACGGAGGAGTGTCGCGACAATCGGCATCGACTATCGGAGATCGGAGAGATCGAGCAGCCAGTGGCAGTACCAACGAGCAGCTTGATATTCGTCGGACGCACGCCACGGAGTCCGTCTGCGTATGGACGCGGAATAAATTATCCGAACGTCTGTCCTTCTTCTCTCCTTTTCACCATCGTACCCTTCTCTCTTCTTCCCTCTTTCTCTATCTTTCTCTATCTTTCTCCATCTTTCTCTATGATCGCTCGTACCTTTTCCTCTAACGACCGTCTCTTTCCCCTATAGATCGTTCTCCCACCGATGTCTATAACGATTTCTCATTCGTAGTGGTGGGACGATACCGGAAGTGAAGTCAGAACGGCGGAACCAGACGTTCACTCAATGGAAAGTTTGAGTCGTTTCAGTGCGTCTAAGAAGGGCCGAGCGTAGATCGGAGTTCCGCTCGCGTGGAAAATCCGTTTCTTTCGCCGGGCACGCAGCATTCCCGCTCGCGACTCGCGCGTGCACGGAACAAACTCGAACTACCGTAGAAAATACGTTCGCTCGACGTACGATCGCATCCTTCCTCTCGCCGTGTATCGATCGACGAGCAAATCCCCTTTCGGTCACATCGGTGTCGGACGCGACGGTGATACCGGGGTGAAAGATGTGCCCTGGCGTTTCTTTCGATTTCGTAGAAACTCGCGACGAATCGGTCGGCATCGATGCGACTACTTCGAAGAAACGCGAAAGAGGAGAAGATCGAGTCGACGAATATCGGTGATGAACGTTCTTGGTATCCTCGCGAAGAACGAACGAGCGAAACGATGTTCGGCTTCGAAGATGATCCGAGTCGTAGCACGTTGAAGGATACGTTGGAGATGGAAGATGGTGATTTTTTAAGAGAAAGCGGAAAAACGACGCGTACTGTGTAGACGTGTGTTTCGAAATGGAAGACTACGATAATTATAGTCGAACGAAGCACCGGGTGGCGTCGGTTGCCGGAATTTTAAACGAAACGCGTGATTTTAATAATTCGTCCGCCTGAACGGTACATAATTCAACGCGAACGTTTATTCGGGTGGTAAACGTTTTACGTGGAAAAGTGGCAAGTTTTCTTTCGAGAAAAGTGGAGATTCGAGCGAAATATCGTGAAATAAAACTATATGTACGGTTGTTACGAGACTCTGTCGAGCTACGGTGGAACATTTTCGACAGCGAAGGAAACGGACGCGATCACGACGTTGCTCGTGTGCGTTTTCTTCATCGTGGAACGTACGATTCGACGAGAGTGTAATTATGATGGAAACTTGGATGGCTTGCGACACGCGTCTTTTGCGAACACGAAACTCGTTGGTTTAGTTAATTCGAACGACGATAAAATCGGCCTTCTATTACGAGAACGAAGGAATTAACCGTTTAATCGTAATTACGGATAAAATCCCGTTTCGGAGGCCAGTTTCATGGTTGGCCGTTGATTTTCAGCATTTTCAGCGTTTCCAGCGAAACGAGATACAACGAGCACACTTTCACTCGCGTGTTACGCGTGTTTCTCGATTAAAACGCTACGAACGCATCGTTCGACTTGGAATTTGCCAGCTAGTGATGACAGGTTGTTCCTTCGGTGTAGAAGGTATTCGCGAGGTGTTCGTAAAACGTGTAGGAGAGGCTCTTGGTGCATTCGCGACAGCATACCTCAGAAATGGTCAGCCAACACGCGATGGCCACTACGGTTCGCAGAGTTAAGCAGGAGAATCGTCTGAGGCGACAAAACCAAAATCAAGGTATAGAAACCACGGTCAAATCACGCGTGTCTAGCGTCCCTCGAATGGCAGTCGGAATTCTCGATCTGCGCGACGTGTGTGTAAACGCGCTAGATAGAAGCTACCCGCAACGTTATACGTTACGAGATAATCGATGCTCGATTTTCTTACTGAATAATTTGTCAAATACCGTGAAAAGTATTATCGCGACGATGAAGTTGAACGTACGCCCATAACATTCCCTGGTAAAAGACGAAAAGATTTGCATATAGTGAAACAGTCTTTTTCAGTTCTTTCTATTTCTATCTTCTATAAGTCTTTTTTTGTATATTAAATATATTAAATTCTAATATATTAAACGCGCACAACGTTATACTCTGTGCGTAAGCCGTGCGTGTAATTTATACTGCGATTAATCAAGTGCGAAAAGGTAAATAGAATATCGTTTCAAGTCGAAGAAATTGATCCGAGCATCGTTTATTTGTTACTGGCGCAGCGAGGTAACGGTATGTTAAACGACAATTTGAAAATTAACGCGAACATTTCACGAAAATATATATAAAGGTAAACGTACCTACATAGTGATTTCCGATACAGCGAAGCGCAGCACGGAAGCACAATGAAGTTTAAATGAAGAAACATAGATTAACTCGGTTACGATAATGCCGATAAATTTGCTAGAAGAAAAGACGACACCCAACGCGAATTCATTTCTCTATGGTGTGGATACGTCGAACTTTGCTCCGACTAAATGGAACTTTACGCGCAGCTCAACATCCGTTTAATCGTAATTACTCTTTTATCAGGAATTAATGCTATTTAGAGGTTGAATGTTTCGGAGATTTTTTTTTCAGACGCGTGACAATTTTGTCTAACTTTTACGTCCTTCCATTGACTTTACTTTCGGTAACCCTTGAATCCATCGAGATTCGATTCGACTCAACCAAAACAAACGTATCGTGTTTACGTGTTTCAGATGAGGAGGGACTTTACAAGCCTGTACCACCACCGAAACCGGTGCCGAACAATCAAAAGAATCAGAATGGGCAGGAGAGCAGCAGAGTGCAGACGGTAGTGGAGCAATCGTCGCGGCCGATTTCCGCTATAGAAAGGAACGTCACGTTAGACGACAACCAGGTTCGAAGTTCCGGGCAGAATCCTGCACCCGAATACAGGATGCCACCGCTCTACGGGGAGGAACAGAGCTCGAATCAGACTCAACAGGCAGCTAACTTGCAGACTCACAGCAGCAAATTTCCAGTAAGTTTGTTTCAGGCGGATTCGGATATGTACCTGTTCTATTATAGTTGTGATTAATTTGCGACAGCGTTTTGAACAACCAACGAAGAGGTTCGTTCGGCGAAGAGAACAAGACCAACAGCCATGTAAAAATAACACGAGCATAGGAAGAATAACGTAGAATACGGGTGGTTCCGTGCGATGCAACCACGTCACGGACAGTGGTCGCGCGTTAATTAACGATGCATATTAACGACGCGTGCATTAATTCCACGTGCGCGAAAAACCTACCTATGTTCACCGATTGTGCACTGGAACGTGGATGGTACATATGTATTATGTATATACGTATATACGTAGATAGTAGAGCACTGTTACGCTTCTATACACGCATGGCATATAGAAGTGGTCGCGGGCTGGAGACTTTTGTTATAGACACGCAGCGCATAGGCGTGCCGGTGAATTTTTACAAACACCGATAACGCGACGAGTTTCGAGGTGTAACAGACTGAATATGGCGATTCCAGTCGTGGACTTTGACTTGCAAGTCGATGAAAAAAGGAAACGCCACGGTTAGAAGTCAAGGCGTAGCGCTTTATTCGGTATGGTCTCCACCGTCGACTTTCTAGCCTTCTTCTTGTACCTCTTCTTCGGACGTTGCTGTGCTGCTGCTGCTGTTGCTGCTGCTGCTACTGCCAGCAACGAGTAAGCCAGCGTGCTAGTGTCCCTTTAATTGCGTTTTTCTCTTCCGACGGCATATCCAAGGCCGCATCTCGTTTAGAATCGTTTTTACGAATCCAAGTGGGAATCGTATTCACGCACGACGCTCAGTTTCGACACCTGTCACCTTTGGGTCGAACGTTTGTTGGAACGAAACGAGTAAGTACCTACTTTGCTTACACGCTGAATAGATGCTTGTCGATCCGACATGTGTACATATATGTATATAGCGCGCATACGTATACGACAAGTTTACCACTACAGGATGGGGTGGTAATCGTAGTAAAGTATGCTTTAACTTGCCCAAGTACCGACTATGCTACGAGTAAATAATCGACAGCGGCTTCTTATATATGTATGCGAAAATAAATGAAAAATGTATAAAGTTCTCGTTTTCAAGAGAACAAAGTTTAAACGTGTTCAATTACGAAACACCTGGTCTGGTACACGCGTACGATACATTTAGAAATTTATTTTTTTCGACAATGAACCATCTTTTTTTATTTATTCTTAAACGTGGTTTAAACCGTCGTCGACTATTTAGCCATATTCGGTATTCGGTATAAGGATAATATAATTATATGAGTAACTCGGTCTCTTCTCGGCGTTATCGATAGACAAAGAACAACGCGATCTAAAGGGTAAAGAAAAGAATTGCTGAGAAATATCTAGCACTTGTAATCGACGCGATATATTCGAGTAATTCGAAGAAATGTTTACAGTTTGTTAGAAACGATACAATGCTGCACATTCGATTCGTATATTAAATTATCGTGCTTTGTTTGGTGATAATGATCTTCCCGTTCTGTTCTTGATTGTATGGTAATAAGTAATTAACCGTTATTAACTTTCTCTCGTAAAACGGAGATGGTTAATTTCGCATTTCGGTGGAACATTTGAATAACAGTAGGTACGAGTGAAACAAAAGACGTAATTTATATTACGTGTAGAACGTAATAGAAAGCTCGTAAAAGAACAACGATAGGAAAATTGTTGAAAGAATTAATTTCTTGTTAACAACTCTTTCGTTATTGTTTCGCGCAGAAATATATTACACGAAGATATCTCATGATTACTACATGATATTTCGATATTTCTATTAATACGACATCGATTCTCAAATAACAGTTTAATTCGTACGGCTGCTGGTATTTTTTATAACATATCATTCACGTTTGTTAGATTATCCGAAAAAGATCTGTTCGTATTAATCGTTGTTCTTCTTCTTTTTTTCCAACAGAAATTTCGATAATTTGTTTAATTTGTCAAATATACGCGCATTCGGAAAAGATACAGTAACGTTAACGGTAGGATAGTATCGATATAGAGCGAAGATTAAACTCGTTAAACTTGACTTTAATCTCATTGAGAAAGAACCGCTTGTGCTACATAACCAGGATACCATTCCGCAACGTTAAAACGTAGAATAAATATCAAAATTACGCCATTTTTATTCTCTCATCTTTATTACAGTCGTTTATTACAGTCGTGAACTGTACGACGCTATATCGGAACTTAGAACTTAGCGATTGCCAGAAAAAGGGTAAGAGCGGGCTTGTTAGGCAGAAATTTACATTATTCGATGACCAACGGATTCCATTTGTCAAAGTGATAAATTATCGACTAAAGAGATACGTTGTACGTTGGATGTTACAATTGCGTAGTCGAGATGTTGGATGCCAGTTCGTCAGATATAACGTAATCCATCCTATCCTTCGTTCTAGTTCTTAGAAAATAATTTTGATGGAAACGATCGATTATTTGAACTACGAGGAAAGCCGATTGTCGTGCTTTCGATTGGTTTTATCTGGAAGTTTTGTCGGAAATGCCGCGGAATCGCTTTCCTCTTAACTCGAGTTGCTATTCTTTTGGGAAGGAAAGCGCCATTGTTTGGATGGCCGGGTTTTATCGCGGCGCGCGATGCTTTGCAAATAAATTTTATCAAACGGACCGTAATAACAGGGCAGGTATTAAATTCCATAAGGGAGGAACACAAGCAAAACGTGTGAATTTAATATCCTCCTTGATGTTCCGCGGTGATTGTGTAGAAGTATATCAAAGAGACGCTCTTAAGAGCGCTTTGACATTCTCCTTTCAGCAGGAATGAAAGCATTTTATTCTGCCCGCTGCCTTCCTTCCCCTTCTACCTTGTTCAATGCTCCATTTCTCCTCTGATATCAACTTCAATCTCGGTTCTTTTTTTCCTCTGAGGATAAGCAACGGCTTTGCCTGCTGCTGGATCCTTACGGGATCGTGCGTGTGAGAAAATGGACGAGTTTTCTTTGCAAATTGAACGAACATGGGAACATGTGCGATGACTCGTTCGGAACCGAATGCTTGTCCACGATGTCTGCTGGCTGCTGGCATCAAGGGTAATGAAAATCAGATCGTACGTTCGTTAATTCGACGATTCCGTTAGCAGTTCCATATTAGAACAGCCAGTCGAACAGTAACGCGGCTTCATCCGTTTCGATGAATTTGCACTTTGAGTAATTACGAGATTATCCTCCTAAATTTTCTTATCCACACTTTTTATTTCGTATTTTTTATTTTCAAGAAATGTACAAGTCGCTAAGGGCACGGTAAACAATTAACTTTAAAAAATGCAAAAAATTATCATGGTAATTATCATGGTAAAAAATTATCAAGCATTGTTTTTGTTTGCTGGATTCGATGTTATACTAAAATTGTTATTAAAAAGAAAGATATAATACGATCTTACGTATTTGTAATCCTAAGAGACAAGAAGATAAATAAATAAGATAGAGAAAGGGACAAATAAGATACGTAAATAAAACTTGAGAAAAACTTGACAAGTGCCTTAGAAATTTCTGTGTTCGCTTAGACGTATAAAATGATTTTGCTACAAGACGAATTCTACTATCGTGTTTGAAATTTGTCTTACGATATAATATACTCGTTTGTTTCGCATAAATGTAATGTTGTCGCGACGATTTATTTGCCTCGTTAACTTATCGGCTGAAACAAATTGCGGATAACGCTTTTTATATAAGATTATTCGTTATAAACTTGCTTGCAACTTACTAGTGCTCGGACACACAAGTTTGTACATTTGTTTTGATAATAGAGTTTTCTAACGTAAAATGTGAAATATCGTTGAAAGACGAAATGTTTTTGTTGTATCTCTCGTGATACGTAGTATTCGTTAATAAATTACATTAATTACATTCGTTAATTACATGCTCAATTAAAGACAACCATTGAAGACAATCTCGTAAAAACGAACGCGATTATCTTACGATAGAAATATGCGTAGAGATATTTTGAGCTCCCTTTTTTATATCAATTTCGCTTAATTTCATGACACAGCGTTCTACGTTACGATACACTTTCTAAAATTTCTTTACAACTTTAGCGGTCGTTAATAAATATCGTTGTCACGCTTGTCATCCGTGTCAAGTCGGCGTGTAACGATATCGAAATAATATTTCGGACGAAATAAATCGAAAGGAGTCTAAATTGGACGTTAAAATGTATTACGATGTCAAAATGTCAACGTCAACAAGCTAAATCTTACTAGCTTGATATCTTATTTTCTTACCCACATATATTCCATCGTCGTTTCTTTATCCCATCCCCTCTTTCCTTCCTTTCACTTTCGTTGGTCAACTCACGAGAAACCATATATATGTTTCTTCACTTTGTTTTCTATCGTTCTTCTTTTCGAACCTCGTTAATCCCATGCTACAAACGAGTTAAATATTTTTCCTCCGAGCAGTCTTTACAGGGTCGCGCGTTTTATTCGTTGTTTGTTAGAAAATCAAGATTACCATTGAAACGTAGCGTAGCTACGATTTTGAATCAATTTTCCTTCGATTAGATATCTATTTTCCAACTATTCTGGTGTTTCAAGGAAAGTGAAAGTCACTGTAGCGTAATTTATTGCCTGCTTGTATATTTCCTGTACTATCGTATTTTCGGTATACGTTTGATATAACGCGTTATACCGTATCTTGGATAACATCTCAGGTGATCCGTCATAGTGCGTCCACTCAAGTACAACTTATTCGTCTTGTTAATTGGAAACAGAGGAAGGAGAGTGGTAAATGATAATCGTAAGAAAGAAGAGAATCGATAACGATTTAAAATTAATATCGCGAAACGATACTAGTTAACAAACGATCTAGTTATTGCGGCGAAAGGCAAAGCTACTACGAAGCTACTAAAAGCTTGCGAAAACGAGCCTATTTGAAGAAATACCATACAGATGGTCGTGAGACGAAGGTGATTAAAAAGGAACCAAATGGCTAATCTTTAACGCCATAGCGCATCGTATCGTCCCAGAAATTCGTCTCTACCTTTCCGGTAGAAAGCAAAATAGCATCGGATTAATTGCCGTCGTCTCGGACTTGACAAGATACCGTCGCTAACACGTATGTTCCACATTCTACTTACGCATTGCGCAGAAGATGTTGGGTGAAATCTTCGGTAACAGTTCGTTGTAAGTACGTTCGTTACGTTCTTGGGAAAATTCTCAGAGATTCTCCAGCCAGACAAAGCGAGCATCATACTTGCGTACCGTTTACCGGAAGTTGGGAAGGGGGTTGCGATAGCCGTTTAGATACATCACTTTTCCCCGTGGATCGGCCTCGCGAAGCGAGAACAAATCGGAACAATTGTCGGTGACGACATCCTACTTCTACGCAAGTTCGCTATTTTCGTCACTTGGCGAACTTGTCTTTGGCACCTTTGTTGTACCCGCCGACAATCGTGTTATGTATTCCGCGCATTTAACTGTTTGCGAATTATTCAGCCGATCTTTCGTGACTTGGAAATTCTCGTCTCGTCTCGTCTCGTCTCGTCGCGTTTCGTCGCGTCTCGTCTCGTCTCGTCTCGTCTCGTCTCGTCTCGTCCCGTCCCGTCGAGTTTCTCTCGGTAGCTGCTCTCCGTGAAACCGCCATGCTGCAGCTAATTAAACGCAGTGATCGTGTTGTACAGTAATATTTTGATTACTCGCGTAACTGTAACTTAACGAACTGGTAAATATCAAATATTTATTTTATTCCAAAATCTTAAATATTAATTTTATTCCAATAAAATTCCAGAGTATCGTACGTACTTTACTACGACACGTATTTTAGAGAGATGAGAGGCGAGAAATTTCAGAAAATACTTGTCTAACAAGAATGTAAGACGATGCAAGAGGAACAGTTTCACATACATACGTAACGGTGAACTCGTTTCACGGGCAACGAACTTACCGAGAATTTTCCTGTTCTCTTTATTTCTCCTTTCTTTTCTTTGTTCGTTTCGTAGCAAATTATACTACAGAAAATCATGCGGAAGCATGCACAGAAAATTGTTCGTAAACAGCGTATGCTATCGAACGGTGTTGATTAGGCGTGTTCATTGTCTGTTGCAATAGCTCTCTCGTTTTTATCACGCTTGCTTTCTTCTGACCGATGCGCTGCGCTGCGATGCGCTGCGATACGCTGCGATGCGATGCGATGCGATGCGATTTCAAGGCGAGTTTAGTTCAGTGACACCCCTTTTTAGACGCATTATATGCACGCAAAGAGCGGCTGATTGGCGAGCGGTGCTGCTGTTCTCGATGTTGTTTGGAAAAATCGAGTAGGTAGCGTGAAATCGAGACCGAGAAGCGACGCGACGTTTACGATGAGAAATCCTCGTTGAAAACATTGCGTCGTCTTAACGCGCATCGGTCGATCTTGCTTCCGTTCCGACTTTTTATCATCGAATCTACCTACGTTTTTATGGTAATGTGTAATCGAACTGCGATTCGTTCGCTCGTCAAACGTACACCGCGTCTATACAGACTGGACAGGGTGGTGAGAAAATTATATAAACGAACAAATTTCTAGAACGATCGATGGTGAAATTGTACGCGATTTACCAACGCTATCGGATCCTTTGGATATGGTATTAGAAAATTTCCTTTAATCGTATCGTTGTATCTTAAATTCACGGTGGATTATTAATAGCGAAGTTAAGATTATATTTACTAATAAATTGGCAAAATAGACAAAGCGAATGATTAACACGGAACACACAGAAATAAAATTGAGAGTTAACGATGAGAATTACATATTTCGTTTATAGATCGAACGCGAGGTTGTTCTGTCGTCGGGAGACAAAAATTCCAAGATTCCCATTCTACACGAGTACAAACAAAGAACTGCCGGTAGAGTGGCGATTGCACCGGATGCTCCGATCAAACAACAGGCTTGGGTTCAAGAGGTAAGTTAATTCTCTTGTTAACGTTCGTAATGTGCTGGTAAGACTGGCTGGAAACAGTCGAATTTCTTACGTAACGTGGTCGACTGTTGGCACTAGATGCGATAACGTTACTCCGATATAGCTTATTAATATGTAAGAGTATACACCGTGAAACAATGTGATTTAAGACGAGCAGAGTTTAAAACGCGGGATATGTTTTATGCTCGTTGGTCGCTTAATTACAATTTATAATTGCCAGAAAATTTAACTACGACTAGCGCCACAGTATCTCTTATAAGATAGAGAGAAAAGATTCGTTTTTCATTTTCACGGAATATCTTTTAAAAGCTTATCTTTTAAAAGCTTCCATTACCTCTTGAGTTTCGAATCTTTGGCATACGAGTCGAACTCTCTGCTTTTCTAATTCGAAAAGCATCGGTCAATCGTACGAAGGCACAGGTATGGAGCAAATGGACGCCAATTCGCAAAGATGGTCGAATCGCGATCATTACGAAATCTTTTCATTGACCGGCGATTGGCTCGCGCGCGTGCAACTCGTACAGCGATCGGGCACCTACGTGAATCGCTGGAAATGCGAGTAGGTGTCGTTAATGCACGTGCTACGAGGTACTATTCCACGATCGTAGGTTACAAACGGATGTGAGAGTCATATAGCGTGTGCAAAGAACACGGAGAATTATCGTCGGATCTGCGTTCAGAGTGCGTTCTTTCTTTGTCGTTCTGGCACAGAGACGGCGTGTTTAATTTATTTTAGATTCGTCGATGAAACGCTGACACGGTTCGAACCGAACGATCCCACCGATCTTATTCTTTAATTTGTTTCTAACGTGCCGGATAATCGCGTCATACGACGATCTTCGCGCGATTTAACGTTTCTTTGTTACGGCATTTGTCCTATAATCAGCATGGTAAATAGCGATATGTGCGCGTGCTTTTCACCGTAAAACCGAGCTATTGTTTTTACGATGTAGGCGTCTTGCGAATCTATTACCTGCTTCCCTTGGTTCGTTCCATGACGTACGTATGCGCGTACATAAACGTTCGCTAGGAAACGATTAGTAAGAACTAGCTGTCCTAGTTAAGAGGAAATTCGTATCGTAGGCGATTATAGGCATATCTTGTTGCAGCTGCGATCGTCGCGGCCAGTACGATAAGAAAGCGCGCTTACGATCTTTGCCGAAAAGACGAAGCGCGTGTTAGTTAGCATCCGAAATACGTAAGCAGATGTTTTTGTCCTACTCGAAGCCTGATTGTTGTCTGCGTGCTCAAGTGCGTAAACCAGGTCCGGCTTACGACGAACGGAAAATATACCTGATCCAACGTATTATTGGGAACGACTCGTAACATTTTATATTCGTACGTTAGATTTGGCGTAGCGTAATCCTCGACACGGCAGCTGTGCAGGGACCATAAGTCAGAAAATCTTTTTTCGTATGCACGAAGCGTGCGATGGAGCCCTACGGGCGAAACTTGGCTCTGTTCTCTCTTCCCTGCCTCTCTCTTCCTCTATCCTTCTGATTGACAGTGTCAGTTGTTATTCCAACCACATCCCTTCCTAAGAACCAAAGGATTCAGTCCGACAACTTTGAAATTCCCTCTGCGGTTTAAACGGACACGCTGCCATTAGCTGCCCGCTGTTCTCTTCGACGGAGAATTGTTTTCGGTGGATTCCGGCAGATTGCGTCGAGGGTTTCCCTAACCAACGCGACGCCTTTCCTCCGGTGAGAATCGTGCTTCGCCTCGCCGGTTTCGAAATACTCGATAAGGCGAACAGTTCGGATATCTTTCGATTATCGGTGTCGGTAATCGATAATTTCTTATTTTCATTTAAAAAATAACTTAATTTCACGTCGAGACCAAGCGTATAACACATGTTCAAAAGCGAACGTACAATATATATTTAATCCGTATATTGTAGGAAATTTCGCGAGTAACCGATAATCTGCTCTTATCAACTCTTATCGGGCTTACGTTAATTATCACTTGTAGTAATCGAGCGAAGAATTAGATTAAGAATGGAAGGGACGGGCGACAGAGGACAAAAATTTCAATGGAAAAGCTTTTTAATACGGAAAAACTTATTCGAGCGTCGGGATAACCTTGTTAAAAGGAGTAATTGCACGGGTTGTCGCCAAGTTGAAAAGTCCAAAGTTGTAGCGACTGAGCCGAGCGATTTAATAACGTATCGCACACTTTCCCTTATAGCGTGTTACGTAAAATGTCTCCACGCTGGTTAATCGCTTGTCCGTGTCCCGTAGCAAAAGTTTCAGGTGCTTCTCAATCGCTTTATCCGCCGACGCTCTCGAGCGTTGGCTGCCAATGACTTTTCTCTGATGCTAATTGCACGAAGCTCGAGGCTCGACAACCGTACATGGCTACCGATAAATTGATACTGCCTGGTGCCGAATAATTGAATTTGTTAGGTTGCTAGCGTCCGGTGTTTGTCATCGTTGCAGTATGTACGGCGAGTATCGCGTAATTGGATCACACTTGTTTGTTCGAGCATATGCCAATTGTAAGGGATATCTAATTTATTTACCACTGGTCTGATAATTCAGTCTGAACTTGTAACAAAAGGAAGAAACGACATAGAGTATGGAATGGTTAATAAGTTGAAGCGACTAGGCAGCTGTTGTCATTTTTGCCGCACTTTTAACTTTTTTAGTATTTTAAAGTAATACTTTAAAATACTAGATTAACTTTTATTTTTCATTTCATTTCATACCACGTGTAACGAGTATTTGCACGAGTGTGAAATATTAGTCGACTAGGTGGATAACACGGAGAGATAAGAGCTTGAGAGGTAACTACGATGTAAACGATTTTTCAGGGCACTCAGATGCAAGAAGTGAGACAGGAGGGTCAAGCCAGGAGTTATCAGCCAGCGGAATCTTACGCGTAAATATCTACCTGTATCGCGCCGCACTCGGTGAATCCGAGAATTGATTTTCCCCGATAAAATCGCAATTTCTCCGAAGGTCGACGTCGGCTGCATCGGCGCCAAGGACCACCAAAATCGACGAAGACAAGAGCAAGTCCATTTCGAGAACTTATCACACGATCAAGGACATGATATCGAGCCGTTTCGGGCAGAGTCGCAAGGATGCCGAGCCGGAACCGGAAGCGAGTTTGAACAATGTCACGGAAGAACTGAGAAAGTCCAGCAGAAGCATCGATGAGGAGGAGGCGAAGAAGAAGGAAGGGATTTATGGGAAGCCACGAGCACAGGAACCTCCTGTTAATATGCAGCAATATCCAAAGAACGCATGCGGTGAGTATTTTATATCCGGGAAATATTTCATGTAGCAACATCGTGCCGATTCTCTCTGAATTTCCACTAAAAACACTGTCTTTCCGAAACGTATCGTACTACGATATTGCGAGATTCTCACGATGGTAATTTGTAATTTTGTAGCCTGCGATTAAAGTCGGAGGTAAGATGGAGCTTCGATGCTGAACAGCGTATCTTTGGTATTTTGCCTCTTGAGCCACGCCACCGATGTAATTCTATATTATAGTAACAGGGCGATCCTCTCGCTGTTAATTAACTAGAAGCCATAGCGTTACAATGTTGCCGCAGCGATGATTAACGCTTTGCCTTTATACAAGATGATCCGTCATCGAAAGTCAATTTCGGTGTGCTGCGTTACGGCATGTGCGTGCATGTAAAATGTAAAATGGAAATAAGAGAGCGTAGTCGGCGGTATGATTGTCGGCACCGCCTTCGAGCCTGCTAGTTAACTAGCAAGAGGATCACCGGTTGTAAGGCAATGGGTTAATCTTGAGAACACGCTGTCGATCTTCGATGGCATCCCACGCGATACAGCTAAATGATTTTTACGTACGATTAGATATAATTAGGTTTGTCATGTAGAGATCGGTGGCTATAAATTATAAACAGGCAAGACAAGTTGAAAATCGGAAAGTAGAAAATCGATCGATTGGATGTTCTTCGTATCCTCGGTATCCTTTTGAATTCCACGCGATAGACGATAGTTGTGGCGATATCCTATTTTCCATTGATATTTCAACGACAGGTTTGAAATAAAATTGCATTTTCGTACTACTCGGCTGCTTCGCGTATACACGTAAAATGTAACGGGGGGAGGTATCGAAACTGCGTAAAAATTGAAATTAACCCGCTCGCAACGTAACGGACAGTGACATTTATTTAACGCTTGAACCTGATTTAGGTCAGTACGGGCACTCGTATAGTTACCTGAGCAATCAACAGAACGTACCGCTTCCTGGACAACTTCAGCCTACGTCACAGATTCAACCCAATTTACCAGGCCAAAGTGCTCAGCTTCACGTGACGCATCACGCTCCACCTGGAGGAGTTCAAACGGTCCATCAAACTCAAGTTCCTGGTTTTGGCCAATCAGCGACAGGTGGCCAGCAGGTGCAAAATGTTGCGAGGGAATACGTTGTTCAGGGACCATCTGGATTGCCGAGTCAGCAATTGCATCAAGGACTTCATCAGAGCCCTCAGAACCAGGTAATCTTTGATTTACTTCCGCGCTCTGTGAATCGCTTCTCAATGCCGGTAGACAGCATTGGTTTCGTTTCAAACGGCTTTAAATTGCTCGCTCGAGTCGAAAGTTCCATCGACGAATGTACACATAGGAAGTACCTAAACGTGAAAGTTATTACGCGGAAAATTACTCGTATAGTCAGCGATTTTCATGTAATGTGGAATTTAGTTTTGCAATTTAATTCTATCGAATTCTTAGATTAGATTTAATTCCGTTGGACTTGTGTTACACCGATGCAAATATCTCGACGCTTCGCTCTACTATCGACGATTATCCGCGATACTAAGTAGCGACTGGCTACGATAATTATCGTAAACCATCGTTTTGCAGATTCATCGGAATTACAAAAATTGCATATTTAAAGCAAACGAGTATTCATTCGCATGTATCTTACGTGTTGAGATTCAAACGTGTCCTGTCAATGAAATAACCGGTTTCCTATAAAATACGACTAGTACCGACTTTGAATAAAGCGAAAGACGTCGTTCCGTCGTCTGACAGCTTTTAATTTCATTTCATCGAACGTATGAAAAAGTCGTTACGTTTTCGAGTGAACTATTTTCAATCGCTCGCATATTTTCATTTATTTTCACGTTTCTATGTTTTATCTCGCTTCCTAAATTGCGTACGTACGATGTATATGTTTTTCTTTTTTTTTTTTTTTAATATGAAAGCACACCTGTTATATCGAAGTAGCGAACGGGAGTTTAATGCACGTCGAAATAACGACTCTATGAAAAAAGGAAAAAGGAAGAAAATACGAGAAAATTTCGTTGGGTTTCGTTCTTAATTAAAAAGCTGGAATACGGGGAGGATATGTTGGAAAAATTGTTTCGAATCCTTGACATTGCGACAAAAATTGCAGTTTGTAACTGACACGTTTGTAGCGCGTGATTCGCGACGTTATTCAAGGACTTGTATCATAGCGCATAATCGTTCATTTATTTGTACAACGTATAACAAATAGAATATTTAAATATTTAAATTATTTAAATATTTAATTTAATTATTTAAATATTTAAATTATTTAAATATTTAATTTAATTATTTAAATATTTAAACATTTAAAATATACCAAAGGCCAAGTTCGTACATTCTTCGTGATAAAAACATGCGAACGATGACAAATGACGAATTGGAATGTTAGTTTGGTAGTTGTATTTCGGATCCGCGACCATTGCCAGCCAAAGCAATCAACTTGTTTCCCAGCGGTTATCGATCGTACGTTTCAAATATTCAACGAACATATTTCCCCGTAATACGCCTTTATTCGCATCGATTTGTTCGCAAATGAAATTTTCAGACGTTTCTCCGCTTTCCCGCCTCTCCGCTTCTCTTTCCAAGGTCTTATCCGTGCAAAAATTGTGTTTCGAGGAAGGAACGATCGAAACGTTTCGGATACGCGCCAGGCGTCGGGTAAAATCGCCGATGGTTATTTCCGGTGTAACCAGCGGAAAGGTTATTTTTGCGTAAGTAAGGGTAACCTTCTCCTCATATAAATTCAGAAAGGGCAATAACGCGACACATACGTGCTATTCAAATAGCCGGTGCACGTGATACGTGTTCCATATTTATGCCATCTAAAACCGACCACACACAGCACGATGCACCGTGCGTATAAGTCTCCAAATTTATCGATATCCCGATGTAAGACGTCGCGTCGGTTGGTTCATTCATAAGTTCCTTTTATAAGGAGCGGCGAGAATCTTTCCCGTTGTCCTTTAGTCCGTCGTTTTGCCGACGAACTCGCAGACAGGCATCTCCGATGGATCGTTATTTTTCTCGAAACGCGCTCACGTGACTCATCCGCGTGAAACATCTGAGATAATATACGCGTCGTAATAATATGCGTTATCGAAGACGATCAATTGGAGTAATTGGAGAAAAATGAGCAGGACGCTGCGAGTGACGTTCGTAATTAATATGTAAAATAATTAATGGGAATGCAAATGTTGCTTTCGTGCTCGAGACCGGAGTAAATTGACGAATCTCCTCCGACATATAGGTACATGTAGGTAGGTATAGGCAAATAAGTAGTTATCTTTGCCGAGGGCAACGTAAACGGATACGAAAATTTCAATGGCAAGAAATTTCTGTGACATGGCTATCGATTATGGTCGCCTGCCGTGACCCTTGATATTGTTCGATATCGTGATTTTCCGTTATAATCTTTCTTATTACTTTTCTCACTTTGACGTAGCTTTCGTGGTACTTGGACGATGACGTATATCGTTATTTACGTATTACGATAACATCGTATATCGATTTAGTCGTTTAATTTAGTCGGTTAATTTAGTCATTTGCTCGAGGTTGACAGCTGGACGAATTTATCGGGATTAACGGGAGCGATTTTGGAAAACAGGGCCAGAGCACGCAGATGCAGAAACCTCATGGTCTAGGCGTGCAACCGCACCAGGTGGGGAACGCGGCGATGCAACCGTCGAATCAAAACTTCCAGAGTGCGCAACAATTGTTGCATCAGAATCAGAGCCATCATCAGAGTCCGAGATTCGCGCAGCAGCATGCACAGAACATGCATCAACGACAACTGATCCAGCAGATGCATCAGCAGCAGCAGCAGCAACTGGTCGGACAGCAAAATAGCCAAACCAGCGGCGGTGGC